ATAATGTAATTGTTTGTTAGAAGATGTAATAAAGTTTTACATAATTCAACATATTATATTTACCAAAATTTTTTTACGTGATGTAAACCTCACTTTTAACTTAAAATTCCTTGAAATGAGAGCTCTGTTTATAAGGAAATAATATTTACTTAAAAATAATTAACTTATTATGAAATTCTTTGCACATATGAGTCCACCAGTTAATTGAATTGAAAACATCAAACAAAAACAAAATTAAGTTTTTTTTGGAGAAAATATTTGGGAGTAATTTGTGCTCAAAAATCGATACTCTCTTCCATTTAAATTGCAAAATAAATGACCAAAAAAATCGTTAAAATAATGATCAGTGCAGGCATTCAGTGCATAATTCAAGTATTGAAGTTTTTGAGGTGAATTTGTCCTCAAAAAATATTGCATTAATTTGTGACAAATGTTTTAATGCAATGCATTTGTGTAAATTAAAAATAAAAGTAATTAACCTGTCATTTCATTCACAAATTCATATTTCTATAAAATTCAGTCCAATTATAATAAATATTATTATTAAAAAGAGGTAAAAATTTTTGATAACAATAACAGATGCATAAAACGATTTAAACAAATCTATTTAAATGACAATTCTATTCAAAAATAGCCATAAAATCTAATATTGTATTGAAAAGTATAGTGAAAGTATACAATAGTACTGTATAACTGTAATATAAACGAAATTTTTAAACAAATAAATAAACTGTAATGAGTTTAAACGATTGCAAATTCATGGCACTATTATACGGCAGAGTTTTGTCGTATATATAATATTAGGTCACAATAGGAATTCACTGAATATTTATACACAAGTGTTCAATAAGGAATTGACAAAAAAAAGTAAAAGTGCAAAAAAACTACAAAAAAAGGACTGCCCCGGGTGAGGATCGAACTCACGACCTTAAGATTATGAGACTTACGCGCTACCTACTGCGCTACCGAGGCTGTCATACCGGTGCCGCTATACAACATATTCATATAGCTTTGCCATTCCTATACTTATTATAACTTTTCAAACAATTTAATAAACAATAGTCATATGAGTGCTAAGATGTAATGACTGGCAGTATATGTGAATTGATATGAAGTGTCAGTGATTGTGGTGTTTGTGTGCAATGAATGCATGGGATGTCGATAGTGGTGATGGAGTGATAGCCTATTGCCTGATATAATGTCCCAAAAGTATGAATCATATCTATGGCGCGATAAGACAGCAACGCATGGACTCACTGTACTCTCGCTGTACTCTCCGTATTAAGCGTACAGTAAGAGGTGTTTCCCTTTTGGTGTGTCTAATGGACGCATGCGTTGTGCGGTGTTTGCAATACATGCAGAGGAAATGCATTACTCTATAGAGGTCTCTATGAGGCCATACATGCTATACATGCCATACATGTAACGTAAATACAATTGAATCAGATTTGCGTTCATTTCTTAATTACAGTTATATTTACGATCAAAATAGTGTTAAGTAAGCGATCGATGAGTGAATAGTTGCGCCCAAAGTGTCGCTAATTATGTCCCAAAGTGTCTCATATCTGAAAGCATTGTCACAAGTGTTTTGGTCGGAGAAGGTGTGGATTCCGCCCAATACTACTTGGGCTCAGTATGAAGACAACTACCGCCACTTCAATGACATCTACTATTCACTCATCACTGCTGTCCTCCTCATCGGAGTGCGGCTCACCCTCGAGAGGTCAGACCTGACATACCCTACCAGACATCCCATACCATACCAGCCCTTCAATCGCACACTTGTTTACCATTTCACTCACTTTTCCTTTACTTTCATTTCACGTGTTTTTCCCTATAATTAGTGTTTTTTGATTGTATTAATCAATTGATTGTCTGTATTAACGCTGTGTTGATGGCATCCATAGGTATATCTATGCGCCGATCGGCATATACTTAGGTCTGCGGCCCAACCACGGCAAGAGTCCGCCGCATAACCCCCTCCTCGACACCGCTTTTCGCGCCTCCAAAGCCAAGTTTAGTCACAAACAGGTCTCGCGTCTAACTGTCCATTCATGAGCTCATTCATGCCATGCTAATGTGTGTCTCTGTCTCTGTCTGTGTGCATGTGTTGAACAGATCCAAGGATTAGCCAAACAATTGGATTGGAGTGAACGACAGGTGCAGAGATGGGTGCGTCTGAAGAGCGCACAGAATAGGCCGACAGTGCTCTCGAAGTTCACTGAAAGCGCGTAAGTATTGCTATGAATGCCTGTCCTATGAGCGAGTATCCGAGTATCCAAACACCTCATTATCTCCTATTTATTGCCAGCAATCACTCATTTAAATCATCCGATACTCTATTCATTCACTCGTTTTATAAGTTCTTGTTTTAATTATAAGTCATTTGTGAAAACTATGTTATACTGTGAGTGATCTCAACATTTTTAATGCAAAGTAATTAGTATTTTATTTCAAAATCAATATTTTTTATTTTGAATTTTAAATGAAAGATATATTTGATTATTAGACGACAATTATCTCATAAGACTCATGACATAAGTAGTGTACTAATAAGATATCATAGTACCGGTACTTTGAATCATAAATAATACATTGTATTTGAAAACATAATCTAATGATAAATGTCTTGTATTTGAAAAGACAATCTAATGGTAAATGTCTTGTATTTCAGATGGAGATGTAATTTCTATTTCGTTTCCTTCGTTTACGGCGTTTATGTTCTTTGGGACGTAAGTCATGCGATATTTGCCTCATTTTTTAATTATCAACCACTCGTATGACTTTGATTGCACAACATATTTACTAATCGATTATTTGTTTGTATGCATGCATTGACTGACTGCCGGTGTGCAGAAGCCATGGATGTGGGACTCAATGTACTGTTTCATCGATTATCCGCATCACGTAATTGTTATTATTTGTATCATTAATCGATTTATTTAATGGTTTTTGTTTTGTTTTATTTCAAATTATAGACCATTTCGAGCGGCGAATGGTTTTACTATAACTTTGAGACCGCTTTCTATTTGGCTCTACTTTTCTCACAGTTTTTTGATGTCCAAAGAAAAGTCAGTTTTTGTTTCAAAAGTTATTTCCCATCAATGAATGCCATATTTTATTATTTACGGTATTCTGTTGTATACTCCATGTGCAGGACTTTTGGGCGATGTTTGTCCACCATGTGGTCACTCTATG